ATCTGCTGCACAGTACTGTGCTTGTAGCAAGTGGATTTCATTAATCAGGCTATTTCATTCTTCTTCCCATCAAGTCTAATGACAGCATCAGCAAAAATTAGAGGGGGTTCCAGTTTTACCTTAGCAATTCAGCTCCAATAACACTAGGATCCAGTTTCTTCATAACTCACTCTTCTCTCAAAGCTGAACAGCTGGTTCTGTATCTGACTCACAGATTGCAGATTACTTTTCCATCTCACAAGCTATTCCATCTCTTACCCTGACACTCTGCTTTCTTGAAGCTAGAGATATACAGTTGACATAAAGTAGAATAGAAGTGCTCCTTAAGAAGCAAAGTGATTTGGCATTGGTATAAAATAAATGCTTGTTCTGGCCTTTCCATCTTCTCTGGCTTTAGTTTTCATTTCAGCTTGAGAACCCCAAAACTATCTAGGCTTCTTTTTAAAAAAGGACTCAGCTACACAGCTGAGATCAGTTATGAAAATGCCTATATGGAATAAGGCCCTGCAAAATGTGTTTTATTATTCAACCTTGTGTGAAGAATTCAGAGCAGACCTGGAGAGTGGTGTATAAATGGGGAACACACCTATCTTCCAAGCATGTGACATATACTCAAGGAAAAGTTAATAAAGTTCCTCCAAGTCTGGCTCAAAACATAAAAACTGGCATTAATAGAAATCTGGAACCAAAACCAAACATTTCATCACACAGATTTACAGTTTGACAGTCTAGAAGTGAAACATTCAAATAAATTCATGGAATGACCACAGTAAAGATTTTAGATACTGACGTCTGCCAAAAATGCATTATGCTTGAAAAAAGACAGGCAGTCATAGAAGGTCTGCCAAAGATGTCTTCAGTCTTTTATAGGTATATAGCAGGGCCGCAGATTCATGGAGGTTCTGTGGTTTTTTTATTTGGCATGCACTCATATCTGAGTGGGAGGTAAGTGGAGCTGAGAGGAAATGATTGGCCCAAGTGACAGGTTTTTTTGCTCTTTCATACCTAGTTCAGGAACGATTTCAAAGTTGGCAATTTTCTATATTTATTCATTTAATTTTGTTTATATAAAGAATTTATATGGCCACCCAGCTGGAGCATTTCAACTCTTGGTGTGCATGAAAAACAAAACAAATAATTAAGAAGTTAATAGGTGACCAGAAACTCACATTCATGCCCCGCTCCAGAAAGGAACTCCAATTATCCTGGCCCCAAGGCATGATGAAAAAAGCCAAATTTTTACTGCCTTTCTGAAGGCCAGCCAGGAGGTGAGTAGGGTGTGAGTGATTGCAAGTAGGACTTTCTGTTTCAGGAATGAGTAGAATTGGCACACTAGACAAAGGCCTTCCTGGCCACAGCTGCCATTTGCTCTTCAAATAGCAGCTGAGAGTCCAGGACCCCCAGGCTGTGCCCTACCTCATATATGGCACCCCATGTACATGAAGACTACCCCCAACGGTGTCATGTAGATGTTAAAAAGAAGCAGGAGAGGGTATTGCCCTGAGGCATGCTACAAAGCAGCACTCAACACCAACTAGAATGGGCCCTGGAGAAAGAAGAACCACCATTACACTGTGCCTCCCTCTCCCAACTTTCTGAGCTAGTCCAGAAGGATAGCATGATCAATGGTATTGAAGGCCATTGAGAATCAAGGAGAACCAGGATGGATGCACTCCCCCAATCCCAGGCCCACCAGAGCTTACCTATAAGTGTGACCAAGACTATTTTGGTACTACATCCTGGCCTGAATCCAGGCTAGATCCCTAGAAAGGGAAGGTTGGAGGCAGGATGAAAATTGTCCAAATTTGTTGGTTCCAACAAAGGCTCCTTAAGGAGGGGGCATACCAGCACCTCGGTCAGAGCCTGCAGAACCATCCCCTATCTCAAAGAATCACTGCATGAATCCATCCATCTGCCACCTCCCTGGAGGATTTAAACAACCAGGAGGAGCAAGGATCTGAAACATGGGTAGTCAAACCAACAATGCCAAGTACCCATTTTCTCAAGATCAACAGGATCAAACTCCTCTCAGGTATCGATACAAGATCATGCCCTAGTCAGCTGCATAGGACCTGCAAAATTAAAATCCAACTTTGAGCAAAGCTGAGTGACTTTATCCACCAAGTGGATTAAAACAAAAACAAAAAAGCAAGATAAAATTATTGAATGAAGTCTCCTAAATATTACTGCAGAGAGGTCATCAATATGTGGGCAACATTGCACTCTTTCAATTCTGTCAAGTTTCCTTTCAGGGAGATAATGGGATTCAGTTTCCTTGTATTTCAGGGTAATGATAAAGGCTGTGTTTAGGTTCAAGCAAATACAACTAGAGGTCTCAATGTACAGAAGTTGTAGGCAGTTGAAGCGGGCCTGTATGTACAATCTAACTGTGTACCTACATTCAGTCAAATGCCTGACTAGGACTCCAGAAATAGCCTTAGCTGCAGAGGTTTAATGGCGGTGGTCACCAGGAGCAATTTTTTTATCAGCTTAGGTTGTTATGTCAATTGTGATAGTATCTGGAAATGGTAGGCCACACATTTAGTATCCATATTGCAGTTACTTTAATATATTCTATGTGGGCTGTCTTTAAAGACAGTTCAGATTATCTTGCTGATACAAAACGTGGCTACTTAAAGTAGAGACAAATGTCAGGTGGTCAGACTCTATGACATATGTCATCCAGCTGTGCTGAGTGTTACCCATTTTCAAGTCCAATTTAAAATGCTGATATTGGCCTTTAAACTCTTTAATTCTTTACAGAGTTTGAATTTAGGTTAATTTAAAGCTCTCATTTATCTATTCCAACTTGCCCATACTCTTCATTTAATATCAGCATATTATAATTCCAATTCTGTGCCCACCTATCAAAGCCATTGGTATTATTGACTTGTCTCTCAAAGCAATTGAAAAAGGATAAGGCCTTCTCAGAAGTATTCTGCTTTCTATTAGTAGGACTCTTTTCTAACTGGTATCAACTAGTGTAGAGGACTTCAACTAGACCAGAAAAATGAACCTGATCACCTTGGCTTTTAATTGAGGCAAGCTTTCATAGGGTGTTATTGTATATATGCTGTTATTTAATTATGCTACTTTATGTAATACCAGATGTTAATGATTTATTTTATGTTGTACACTGACTTGAGGTTTTAATCTAAAAAGCAGCTTACCTTTTGAATGAGTAAATAAATAGAATTCTACTTCTTATATGTAGGTCCATCTCCTGGCCATGATTTTGCGCCCAATGCTTGTTAAGCACAACAAAGAATTCTCCAAGTTTTAAACCTGGTCTATCCGGGGTCATATCCTTTCCTTTTCCCTATTCTTTTCATACCCAGAGAAAGTGGCTTAGTTCAGACATCACACAAAACGAAAGCCAAATAAAATCACATTATGGCTTAAGCATAATGTGTGAATGCAACCAATATCCAAAAGGCTAGTTACAAGCAGAGTGGATTTTGTTTCCTAAATTTCATTATTTATTGTGCAAATGGGGAAGGAGTCATCATCCTTCCCTTACAAGCTGATTCAAGGCTGTTCTTGCACAGAGAGCACATGCATTGTCCCAAATAAGAGGAAAATATGCACATTACCCTTTGAAAGCTATAGAAGCAGTCTGCAACCTACACCCCATAGATTACATGTAAGTGGCGGTTATGTCTAGCAGCTGTTGTATGTAGCAAGCCATCCGTGCACAGCTGCAATTTTTAGCAATCTTTTTGGCATTTGTAGACGCATCCTCTAATTCACTGGGAAGCATGGGAGCTATCCACCCATGAATTGTTTGCCATATGACTAGATTCCAGAATTGTGTTTCCAAGCACTTTCAAGCCAGTGTGTTGCATATACAAATGAGTCTTGGAAATTACAGTAACCCTGCAAAAGATGTATTCTGGGCCTCTTTATTCAGATCAACAATTCATCCAGAAGGTTAATGAGTTTGTGGTGAAAGACAGGCTTGCAACTTAAGCAAATGCTGCTTAAGCCAAGTGGAAACATTTGTTCTGCATATTAGAAGCTTGGGATATGCACTAAACACAGGGCTTTTCCATTCCTGTAGATGCTTAGCTCCTCCCTAGAGGACCAACTATCAGCTGAGCCATGGGTTTTGGCTTGCAAACTATAGCAGCTGAAATAAGCACTCAAATCACCAAGGAGAAGCATGAGGGATAGCCTTCATGAACTTTTGCAAGTGAAACTCAACACCATTTCTTGCCAGGAGCTAAAATTCAATTCATGCATAAGCTTCTTGGCTCTCATGTTCCACATTTCACAGTTTGCTGACCCTTGGTTGATATTGTAGCAGAACTGGGGCTGTCAGCATGCAAAGAGAAAGATTTGTTTCCAAGAATGAGTATCATGTCTCAAACACAATTAGATCTAAGCTTTGCATGATGTTGCTGGCTTGCCTCCTGAAACACAAGCCTATATCATTGATTTGGAGAGTTGGGGGTGGGAGAGCATATGAATAGGACTTTAAAGAACCAAAGGTCAGGAGAACATGCCTATTTTCTTCCTCTGCCCTGCAGCTTCTTCTGTCAAGGGCTTTTCTGTCAGCCAAGTACAATTCTAGTATTGGGGAAAATTAGGTAAGAAAGCCTGAAGAATCACACAGAAAATAAAACATATTGGCAGTGATATGAGTTTATCTCAGCTGAGTGATTTAACAACCCTAACACTTTGTGCACATTAATGATTGCAGCCATAGAGTGGCTATAGACCTATAGCATCATCTCTTAAAATTGTGTAGCCCCCTTGCCACCAGCTTTTTCCCAATGTCCATATACTGGTTAAGGACATTTGAAAAAGAGAAGGCTGCTTGCACTGACTCTATGCATATAGGATTCCAGAAAAGATGGAGTACTTAAACTGACTTCATGGGGAGCTAGAACCCTACACATAAGGAGTTCCGTTTTCTTTATGGTGGACAACTATTCAGGCAAGGCCAGTGAGATTCTTCTTCCTATCTCAGGATGTTTGAGCACAATTAACACATTTGAAGGCAGCTAGATCAGAATCATAAAAACTTTTCATTGTTTAATAAGTATTTTTAATCTACATTTGATGGTTAAAGCCACTGGTCAAGAAGCTGATTTTGTCAACCAGCCATTGAAAAGCATCATATCTGAGCTACTCTGATTAATTTTGGAAGTTTTTGTGAAGTATTTGAAATGGAATAGTTTCCCAATGTGATAAAGAGACAACATAGCCCAATCTCCACATTTTTCCATTGGATGTCAATCTGAAGTCTCCTCCAGAAGTTTTAGCATTTTTAAGCAGTTTTTACCTTTAATTATTTGGAAATAGTAACTTCAGGCTTTGTGCCAAATGTGACAATAAATTCTGACTCTGCAGACACTCAGTCCTGTATTTAGGAACCTTGTTTACAGCAGAAACAACATAGCTAAATAAGTTCCCTTACTGCAGACAAGATAGAAGCCACATGCACACAGAAATCAAATAAGTCTCTGGGTTCCAAAGTTTAAATTCTATAATTTTTCAGTAGAAATTGGCCCATTCTCTTCACTGCCTTGAGAATGGAAGGCACCTGCTCAGTGCTGATATAATGGTTCTGCCTGGCGTGGGAGCCAGTGGCTCCTATCCTGCCAGTTTTATTCCTTATAGGTATGTTGTTAATGGATTTAATTTTCCCTGAACAAAATGTACATCTCACCTACCCTATGGGTTTTGGAGGCTAGAAACTTGAAATAAGTAACTTAAAAAATATCCTTTTTGTTGTTGTTGTTTTGATTTAGGGGGCAAAATGCTGATAACGGTAACACCACCTCATGAACCTGTCGCTTTCCAGTCACAGGCTCCACCACCACCTATTCTACCAAAGCCTGGAACAGACAACCTTAAGCTACAGAAGCTCCTGAAAAAAGCAGCAAAGAAGAAAGCCACTTTATCAGCACAGCAAGCCACATCATTCCGGTCCAGTCTGTCTCCTGTAAGTGAAGCCAGCCCAGACTTGGAGCACAATGAGCGCTCTTCCCCACTCAAGCCAACAGAAACTGAAGCACGCCTCACGATCAGTCTTCCGCCCCGCTTTTCAATCAAGCCCATCATCCATCATGTCCCTTCTCCTTTTCCTAAAGGAAGGCCCTTCACATTCACAATTACAGAACAGAGGAGTCTTTCACAGCATCTCAAGCTCACAGTCTCACCCGCCACATCTCCACATCACAGACCGAAAACTCCTGAGTCACTGAGGCAATCCACAGAGCTTCCATCAGGCCCATCTACTCGCTTGTCCCCTGCTTTTGTTTTTCATGAACATCCCATTTCCTCCACTCCTCAAGTGGAGACTCCAGTCGCGGTCACTCAGGTTGCTGAAACCCATTCCTCTTTTCGTAGCGTGCAAGCACCAAGGGTTAGGTCTCCACTAATAGGACAGCCGGAGGAATATCCAACTAGTGTCCATTTGCAAACAAACCATTCAGCCTCACTATCAAGCCAGATGTATGACACATCTTTTGTACAGCAGCCCAGGCCAGTTACCCCCAAGTTATATGTTACTGCGGCCCCTGAGCCTCCCACCAGGAAAATGAAAACTGAAATACACCATGTCCCTAGGCAGTATACAGTGGTTACATCCCCAACTCTTCAGCTGGACAGGACTGTGACTCCAGGAAGCAGCAGAAGTCCTGAATCACACACTGAGGTCCAGAGACAGATAGGTTCCAACACATCACAGTACGTGGGGCCAGAAACACTTCTTCCTGCTTCATCCACTGTCAGTATGCATGCGTTCTTGCCAGAAAGGATAGACCATCTGGCTGTATCATCACCACCACCACCACCACCACCTGTCGCCCAGAGTCCTGCAAGCTCCTCACCCAAGTCAAAGCCGGCATTACCCCTCAAAAACAAATTTAGTGGTTGGACTCGCCTCAAAAAACACTTGGTAGTGGAATCCGAAGTACCTCAGTTCCCAGTTTCAGAATCTGAACCAGAGCAAGGAAGAGAAAAGACAATAACTGAAGCCTCAGAAGATGACCCAGGTCAGGAGAAGAAAGGAACCAAGTCAAAAGCCATCAAGATGTGGGATGCCGTCTTGTACCACATGACAGTCAACAAGGAAAAAAGGCAACCAGCTGAGGAAAAGGAAATAAGGAGAGAAGGAATGTTTTCATTCCGGCGACGTTTACCACTGCTTCTCCACAGGCCACGCTTTGATGCCCGGAAGCTTAAAGAGCTGGCTTCCAAACCCATGACAAAGATCACTACTCTGTTTGAAGTGCGTCGTATCCAACGCCAATCACCTGAAGAAACACAGATGGGTTTTCATAGGGCTGCATCTGGGTGGCAGGTGAAGGAAAGAGAAGAATAGAAGTTTCCTTGAAAAGAAGATCAATAGGCTGAGAGAATCTGAAATAAATCCAGATTTTACTAAAGCTGCACTTGGGAGGGAAAAAAATAAAATCCCCCACAGGGTTATTGTCTGTGTACTGAAAGATGAACATGCCTATTTTAATCAGGTTTAACATGGGGCTTGAGAGAGAGGTTCATTTCAGCCCTGTTTTAATAACAGGCTATATGGCAGTAAGAAGTAAACCTATCTGCTGAAATAAATATAGGATGGAACAGAAATGTGTAGTCTTGCTCAGCCAAGTGTACCTTTTATTCTAGAATAATGCTAAAGTTCTTGGCTTTCTTTCCATGTCCAGTAAATGGCATTTTGAATGGAATCAAGAAATCATCGCACACCATGGTACACATAATTCAGAGTCTCTCTCCCCATCCCCCTTTGTGGTTAAATGCTGCCCAGAGCTTTAGACCTCTTGGGTAGAGGACAAGATGAATAGGAGTATATGTAGTAGAAGCAATGATTGTTTTCACAAGCTACTTTCATGTTTGTGGGAGGAAGAAAAAAACTCTCATACACAGCCTAAATCTAAATTGTAATACTAATAAGCACATAAAATTGCAGTTTAAAATCAGCAACAATTATACAAGAACAAGGTTCAAGATGGCTTCAGATCCCAAAAAGATGAAATTTAAAAGATAAAACAATTCTCCTAGCTCCCATGAGTATAGAAAGTGGTCTGGTAGGCCTCTTCTGAGAGAAAATTCCACTTCCACCATCCAAAGGACCCTGCTCTGCCCATTGATAGATTTAGTATCTCATAGATATAGGCTTCCTAGAACAGAGTCTTTGCCAGACCTTAATGAATAGGCAAGTTCATAAAGAGATGTGTTTTTTTAAGGTGCTCTAGTAGTTATGTCATTTGCAGCATCACAAAATAAAACAAACACTGAATTGGGGAAAAAGGCAAGCAGTGTTGATCCCACAAGAGTAAGGATAATATTTTCTCTTTCTATGCTACTCTTAACGGCAGTGAAATCAATTTAAACCATTTACAAAATACAGTGTGACCACGTCAAGGCTCTTTTCCCCTAGAAAGCAGCTACAGACTAATTTTAAATATCAGAAAAGTGAAAATCCTGCACAAATATCAGGTTCCACAATTTGCCCTGCAGACTAGCTTTTAAATGATGACAGGCAATTCCCGGTGCTTGAAGCTATCAGTTCCAGAAGAGTGGCAAAAGTTTTCTTTTATTATCAACAATTAACCCATGGAGGGAGGCTGGAAAAAGGGACTGTTGTTATCATTATCATTATCACCATCACTAGCCATGGATTCATAAAACAGCACTGCTTAGCCATCTAGAATGTTTTCCACTGAGATACTGCAAAAACACAGAAGGATGAAAGGTTTATATCCCTCTTTTGTGGAAAGATCTTACAATCATGCTATGGCTAAATTGGTGTTTTAATCTCCAAAATGAGAAAATAACTGCAAAACAGGAAATAGCCAATGCCTACCGATATAGCAGGGAAACAGCCATGGGTTTTTGACATTTTATACCTGACCAAATCTGGCAGTTTTGGCATTAATGGCATTTCATTGTCATTTTTCCACTGGTAGTTGTAAAACATGAGTATCAGCTATGAGAAGCAAACTTGAGAAGATTTTGGGAAAAGCCTTCCTTCCAAAATCCAGATGAGGTCTTGACTATCAAGCCAACCTCAAGGTGAATTTGGGGGCCCTTGTCGCTATCCCCTTATAGAGCCAAGCTGTGTATGCATATGCTACACAGTAATTGCTAATATCAGTGTAGCATATCCCAGCTACTGTTTTCTCCATGTATTGCCCAATCTCACACTTCTATTTCTCTACAGAGTCACAGATCAAGAATGGATGGCTTGAACTGAGAAATGGGAGCTAGTTAAAACAGCATCTACTTAAGAGATTGTAGTTATCTTTTTATGTTTTGCTTGTTTAATCACCTCATTGCAGCAGTGGATGATCAACCATCACATTCCACAACATTGTGGATAAGTAGTGTGAATTACTAAACTTAATCTTTGAATCAGGGTTGAAAAAACAATCTGTTTCAGAATGAATGAAAGCAAATGTTTACATCCTGCTATTTTTGCAGTTTCCATCCTGATCTTTATGTCCACCAGTCTCATATTATCATGCAAAACAAATTCTTCATTTACTGTCGAATAGGACCACTCAAATAAGTGAAGCAGTGATATGGGAGTATTTTTTGTTGCTTGAGTGTACACATCTATACTCAAACTGGATTTGAAAGAGTTGATAAGGAGGAGCGTCACTAAATCCTTCCAAGCTGTGGAAAGGGCACACAACCTCCACATTCAGGTTGGCGAGAAAAATTATGAGTTGAGTTTCATCACATAAATATGTAGTTCTATGCCCAGTTTTTATCCCAGCATTGATGGTTAGAAAAGTGTGATCCAAATAGCAGATTTTAGGCTACTATTGTTCTTTCGCAAAATGCTATCACAGAAGGGAGAAAAGGGAATCCCCTAATCCTTTTCTGTTACGCCAGTGTTTGTACTCTCATAGTATGCCATGCAGTAGATCATAGTTTTTGATCAGATCATTTGGAAAATAGATTTTGGTGTCAGCTGCCTGTTACCTCAAGAAGTCTCAAATGGTATGTGCATATAAGACAAGGAGCTCAGTCTCCTTTAGTATGAATATATGGAACACCACAACTTCCTATCCACTTTCCTACACATTTTTAGTAGTCCCTCAAGGCTAAGAATCAAAATGTTAAACTTTGCAGCATGCAGGAAAACTGCTTTCATACCACCCACTTACCAAACTGAGTCAACTGATACATTTGTGTTCACTTTTAATTGGTGTGTTCTACTCACTATTTATATTAACAATGTCTTAAATTTATGTATAGGTAAGGATCTAAGGGTATCACATACTCCATTGTGAAAGTGGCAGGCAAGACAAACTAATTTTAAGAACTTTTGTCCTAATTTTAAGGGCAGTGTAGTAGTAGATAAAGATGTCCTGAACTGATTAAGCTACCTTACTCTTTCAAATGGTTGTAAAAACCAAGTTCAGTTTCAGACATCTTCAAAGATGTTTTTTAGACAGCATTAGTTGGGTCGTGAAAGAATTCTAAGTAAAGAAAGAGTACACAAATCACATTAAGGTTTCAAATGTCTGGTAGAGTAAGTGCCAATATTTTGAGATGATTATATAAGAAACAGAGAAGGTATGTTAAGCAATGAGGAAATAGAAAAGTTTGGTTCCTAAGAGACAGAATATGGATATGGTAAGAAAAGGAACAGTGATATGATGGAAGCAAAGGGTGCTCTGGGCTTTTTCTGAACTTATCATGAATAAGTACTAGGTTGGTTTGTCAGAATCTGTTACGGCAACATTGAGAGGATTCTTTTCACAGCTAAAGACCCGCACATTTTAAAAGCAGTTCATATGAAACCCTGACTCGAGAAGAATTTTTATAAATCCTGAATATGTAGATTGAATAAAGTGTTTCTATGAAAACAAATTGCTTCTCATTGCTGCTAGAGAGCTGAGAAATGCTGCCCTAAGCAAAGATATGCCTGTCCCATACATCACTTAAAATACAGCTTGTGAATTGTCCCTAAGATGCACTGAATCCAATCTCAGGTTAGCTTTTGGGTTTAAAATGTGATAGAACCAATAAAGGTCTGTGTTTGAAGTGTCCATTATCTTAACAAGGCAGGAACATGACAATTAACTGGCAGCCACTCCATAAAACTATTTCTGCTCCCCCTTGTAGAATTCTGATAGCAATGCAAGTCAGGAGTCAATGAATACTACTGACTTTATATACGCAAAAAGGATTTGCAAATGCTCATATTTAATACGTCATCCTACTTTTACCTGTGAGTTTGGTATCAAGACAGCTATTTTTCCGTCACCCCGTCATCTTCTATTTGCACCCTTTTGTACTGTCCATGCCCAACTGCCACATACTTGTATTTCTTGCCAGGAATCTTGACCTAAAAATGAGGATGAAAAAGTGTCACTTCAAGGATTAAAACTGAAATCCCTACCATCTTCCACCCTACAATTTTTGAAGTGCTTTGAAAAACTGCAATGTTGACTATTAGCCATCAAATATGGGCTGATTTTGACACAGTCAGTTTGCCTCTGCTCCATTTTCTTTGGCCTGAAGTAGAGATATTTTTAGGTAACAAAGTTTAAATTACAGTTCATTATCCTATACCAGGGAATCCTGGGCTCCTGTATCAAAAAGCAAATCACCTTGAACTTCTACAGAAAGATAACTTAGAGATGTTAACAAGCAAAACTGCCAAGAGACTGCAAATTTATAATGCACTCTTTAACACTGAGTGGTTATTCCAGATGCTCCTATACATTAAATAACTTCCTAGTTATTATATTGTTTTATATTACATTGTTTTTCTTGTGAACTGGTTGTTAGCCATCCAGAGTTATTTATATAAGATGGGCAGCTGTATACATTTTCTAAAGAAATAAATGCAATAAATAAAATATGAACAGAGTCAAGAATGAAGATACAAAAAGCAACATGAAAAAGAGAACATAAGTGAACACATTGTGAAGGGGAATTTTGGTGACACATTTTCCCCTTCCATTCCATTCTGCTTCCCCATCCACTATCCACTACTTAAGTATTTATGCTATACTTTTAATATTTAATATTAAACATTGCAGACTTTGCTTATATCCATTTAAGTCATTTTATCTGTTGTTTTTAGTCTCTTGACTGTTTTCCTAGAAACCATATTCCAAATGCCTAAATCTGCCTTGCTGTGTGATGTATTGTATATAAGTGAGCCATTCCTGCATAAAATTTGGTTCTATTATGACTATAGACCAGTCTTTCTCAGCCTTGGCAACTTGAAGATGTGTGGACTTCAATTCTCAGAATTCCCCAGCCAGGCTGGCTGGGAAGTTCCGGGAGTTGAAGGCCACACATCTTCAAGTTGCCAAGGTTGAGAAACACTGCTGTAGACTGTCAGTTTTATTATATACTTATATAATATTTTATAATACAACATGAGTATTATATTGTTTACTCTTTTGAACTCTTTAAGCATATGCAATGTAATTATAAAAAGAAAGAACAGAGTCTATATGTATTTAATACAGTACATTATTACCCAGCAGGAACTTTCCCCATAGCCAGGTGCTCAAACTCAAAATCTCTCTGTAGTTAAATCTCATTTAACAGCCACATTGAGTATAATTTTATTGCTCAACACAAGTTGGAAACTCCAGAAAGGACTACTATGAAAACACCATAGAAGAATACAGTAATTGCCTTTTAGGTAGAATCACAATTTCTGAAAAGGTTGAATTCCTGTGCTAGAATGCTCAGCATGTCCAAGCAACACACAAAATCTTCCTGGGAGGACATGGCTGACCACTAACTTGGAATTAAAAAATACATCCAGTCTAGTCTGATAGAAAACTAAGAATGTATGGTAGAAAATTAAGAACCTATTTACACAACGAACTTGGAGCTAGTTTACTTGCAAATTTCCTTCCCTGTATTCATCCCCTTCCCATATTATAGATAAGACATGCACACCATCCAATGAGATGATGACAGTGAAGAATATAGAACTGTGATCTGTGCAGAGGCACAGAGCAGCAATACCTGGCTCAGGGTTAATCAGTGAGATCATTTGTTTTTAGGTCCATAGGCAGAGGCAATTTGCCTCTGTATGTCACTTATTGGGAAGTGCAAGCAGGAAGATGCTATTGTACTCCTGACCTGCTTCCTCAGGCAGCTACTTTGCTCCTGGGAAAATAAAACACCAAATTAAACACATATTTCACCTGATCTAGTGGAACAATTCTCCTTTAATACTATGAACAGAAGAGCTTGCATGCAGTTTGCTGAGGAAGATCTAACCCCATTCGGCCTCAATAATGGAAAAATCTTCCTTTTAACATTCACGGTATGGCTATAGAAGTCCTTGAAGAGGTGCTTTAATTTGACAATACTTTACGCAAAGCATCCTTTCAAAGCTACATTAGGAAGAGTGAAATGAAGCTGCTGTGTTGCTTCATTTTGCATCCCTTCTGGGTCCTCTTCCAGCAAAGCACCTAACATACTTGTCCACTTATACAGAAATATTTCCTTCATCAATATTTAGCATTTCTCCTGAAGGAAGCAATTCTCACCTTAGCATTTCCATCTGCCTGGGGACTGTCTTTGTGTTCCCAAAGGCTTCTCTTATTCACAATGTCTCCAGCCACAATGTCCTAGGAAAAACACAGATGTGATGAGAGAAATTTGAACTGCTCTCCATGCAAAAAGCTATGTTTTGCATCCCAGGTCAAATCGTGAGTCCATATTCTGATACCATTTGGTTGATGATATTTACATCATTGTCATCCTAGGATCAACATCTGTACAAGAGATTGTCTCTTTCCAATAGTAGAGATTTGACCACAATTAGAAGAAGCAGCTACCTTGCAGGGTGTTGTTTTTGTAGAAGACTGAGCCATTTCCCCAGTCTCCCAGAGGTTTTTTGTGCTGGCCACTGCTGCACTATTGGTAGGAAGGTCAATGGAAAGCTGCCGCGCTGGTTTTGGAGTTTTGCTGGAGATCTGCAAAATAATATAAGAGTGAACTAGCTTTCTAGTTTAAAACATCTATCTCCATTCAGTTGACTTCTATCTTATAATGTATCTTACGATGCATCTATTAGGCAGAATCAATATTATGGTACCAATTCCACTGCAGCTCAACTAATCAGAAAATATCCCCTCAAGACAGAGTTTGTGCCAATACAATCTCCCGTCAATGGCCATGCAGAGAAAAACGGTACAAGGCAGCTCAGAACACCTTCAGCACATACATTGCCTTCATTTCAATAGTCATAAATCAGTTGAAGCATAGTACATCAGTAACAGCATAACATTACTAAAGAGAAAAGGTAATGCCACCAGCCAGGTTCAGCATCCATAAGCAAGGGGTAGAGCACCAGAAGAAATTAGATCTCAGCTCATTGGGAACTATTATAACTAGTAGAGTTATAATATGACTCTACTTTTTTGGCTGCTATGAAAAGAAGGACATCTGCAGGGGCACATCAAAAGCTAAAATCCCACATGGGTGACAGCAGTGCTCAGTTAACTTGCCAATAATGGAAAATCAATGGAACTAGGCTTTTGAAAGGAGTCACCACATTTCTTAAGAAACCCCCTCCCCCCCACTTTGAAAAGCTTACCAAAATCAGTGAGTTTAAGCTCACCTCAATGGCATGAGTGTATTGCTCAAGTTTATCATCAATCTTGGAAACCGGAAGTGGTGCTTGGGTCTTCTTCACACTATTACTGGATGGAGAAAAGATGATAAAAAGGATGCTCCCCACAGACCCAGCCATTTCAGAGCCTAATCACCATTGTTTATCCAAAATTATGTTCACTGATTTCCTCAATTTGCGTAGGTCACATAACACATTACATGATAATGTGGCTTACTTATTTATGGCTTAGTTTTAGTGTGAACTTAGCCAGGATGATTTATAAATCATGCTTTATAGTTATCTGTGTCCTGTGAACCCAATCAAATGGAGTTTATTCATTAGCCTATCGAAGCAAATCACAGCTTAGTATGTTATATAAACATATACGATAAGAATAAGTGCAGTCACACTTGACAGTGATTTGTTGACTGAACTCTGGTTAGGATTCTGTAAATTCAATGTTTTAACTTGCTTAATACATTCTGACTGCTTGGAAGGAACGCAGAATGGAAACAATAGCAATATCTGCTTTTCCCTTTACAGGGATACCGGAGAGGTGGAGAAATTGCCTTAACAGGAAGAAGAGCGTCTTCTGCAGCTCAGCACATTAAAAAGTGATGTTTCACACATGCCGTGACCACGAGCAAAGCACCATTCTGAATTATTTGCACAGTTCAGAGCAACGCTTTTTCAGTAGGTGGCATCACAACTCTTGAACTTTCTTCTAAATATTATCCACACACTTATCCATTGTATTTGGCATTTGAAGTGGCATTTTAAAGGTTTCTTATTATACTCTCATTTTATCTAATGTATGCTGCTGAACTGAGCCTCACGTTGTTATAACTGAGGTTTTACCTCTATCTTAGTTACTTGGGAAGACTTTACCCAGAAAAGCAGTGTATAAATAAAGTTACTTCAAGTCAGCTACCATTAGCCAATTGAAAGGACCAAGGTGATGCAGCTTGGAACATCCATTATTTGAGCAGAAGTTACCTTTTCTGCACAGATCTGTTCAGTGATTCAGTTCTGTCAGTGATCTAAAAAACAGAAAGAGCAGGCTTCGTTTGAACAGTGGTGTTGAGGAAAGATACCAAAGTGCTGCTTGGTGGCCGCCAGCTTCCCTTCCAAAAGGAAGAAGGGGCAGGTCCAAGACTTTGCCCCCTTTTTTGCATTGTCAGGCATTTGGGGGATTTGACAGGAAAACATGGAGATGTTTAAAGTACTTATTCCATCTCTTAAACTCTTGAACCCCCCTCCTCAAATAGGGCCCAGCATACCATTCAAAGTCTGATATAGTCCTCAAAGGACAAACATGATTGAGCCAAAGCTAAGGTTGAGTGGGGGCGAATAGAAAGAAAAATTGTTGTATATTCCTCTGCTTTGATCAATTCTGTAAGGCTTTGGACTTGCATTTGTAAACTCCTTTGTTGGCCATGCCTTCCTAAGCACCCCATCATATACCTTTAATGTAGGGCTTAAAGGAGCTTGACACTCTTCTTCCTGGCTGGAAGTGCTTGGGGTCCTTTGTCGTTTTTCTGGGACCTCTTCTTGCTCATACCATCTTCTTTTCTTGTCCTGAAGGGAACAAATGCATAGATGGGGTAGCATTTGCTCACATGCAACCAATTCCCCTCTTCCCAGTCAACACAGTAAAGCTACATCACACTAAGGAAAACCCACCTCAGCATGTTTAACCATGGATTGGCCTCATACATCATGGGACACCATAAGGTAGGTCGTTTGGCTTGATTTGACAGATGTGAATCTAGTCATTGCGGCTTGTAAAGCATGGTTTATAGGTTACTCTTTTGTGTGGTCCCAGCCAATTTTGACTTACTAGAAAAAATTCTGGGTTTTAAAAACCCCAGTTTAGCCTAATATCTGACCTGTCTTTTGTACAGCGCCTGTGGCTAGGTTTTGTGCAGCAGCACAGAAGATCCTCTGAACCCTGATGGGCAAATTTTCTGCTTGGCAAATGCATTCTATGTAACTGTAATTAATTTAAATTTTAGATATTATCAATTTTTTTGGTAATTTTAGATGTTATTATCCTTTATATAATTTAAGTGTCTACTTTATAATTTAAATATAGACTGCATCCTGGACCTCACTCATAGATGCTAGTGAGATTGCTTTATAAATGTATTTTAACTTTCTCTTAAATTTTATTTCATTTATTATCTATTTAGATAGATAGATATATGTTCACAGAGTCTGCTTGTACTGGTCTATGACCATAATGCATTGCATTGCATTGACCTAGTATGAAGTTGGAGAGAGTCTTGCAGGTTTTCTAGTCTAGTCGCTTTCTTGGAAATCTAAATCTGAAATATCCATGACAGCTCCCTATGCAGGGTTTGAAGATTTGGGGTGGGGAGGGGAGAGAGAACCTCTGATTCTCCTACACTAAGGGCTTCAATGCTCAGCTATCCCTAGTAAGCCTATGCATCAGAAAAATGGTTTGGAATTTGCCCAAGCACAGGCTCTCTGCTGTAAATACATTTAAAACAGCCCAGTGACATCTATTTTTCAAGCCTGCACAGAACCCTGGGGAAGAAATCTTTTTTAATGAACAGCAGAGAGGTGCTGTCCTTGTACAGTGTTTAAAGCACATGTTCTTTAGAATTTTATGAAGAACTTTGGCTTCTTCAAGGCAAGAATTCAGCAAAGACAATTTTCTATGTAGATGGGAAAAAATTACACTCCTGATGTTGAACAGTAGCTTCAAGAGTTGTGTTCTTTATCAATTTTTGAAACAACTTTATATTCTAACACTAAGAAGATAGAGCTCTGTGTTTCTAGATTTAATAATTTGCTAAGGGAATGAGTGAGTTTTATATTAATATTCCATGGGGTTTTTTTCCTTAGGTTTAGTTCATTTTAATCACTATTTTAGTTTAATACTGTTGTATTACTTTTCTTTTTGTTATATTTCACCAATACATTTTTAAAAGCCGTGTTCCTACTAATGCAGTCTAAAATCGCGTTTGTTTCTCTTTTTATTTTATTTTCAAACTTACAGTGTACTGCTAGAGCCACTGCAACCATTTTTCACATGTATATTGCAGAGCCAGATGTATTCCCAGTTCCCAATCCTATGCCATTTCTCTCAATGAATATTTCGTCTTATCCAGATGCAGATTTTTTGTTTTAAAAAGCTGGATTTTATCAGTATAAAGTACTTGGATGTATGTATCATACTGTCATATTGTGCTAAGCCATATACAATTATTTATAAGCTACAATAGCTGGGTTTGTACTATTACAGTACATTAAAAGCAAACAAACCACATTATGGCTTAATGAGATGTGCTAATCAAATTATTGATAATGAGAATTGGGCCAAAATTAAGAAACATTCTGAATCTTATCCCTGTTTTAATTCTTCCTTCTGACAACAATTGGTAATCTTCATCCTACTCCTATAATTTTCACTGTTAATAGCAGTAACACGTGAAGCTATAAATGTGTTCAGAGTTTGGCTTTCTTTTGGCCATTTTCTGTATTGTCCAACTGCCTCCTTTTCAATTAAACTATTTCATTCTCAGGCATACGAGAAGAACGGCCATCATCAGCTAAAATTATCTTTTTTTAGCTTCTCCTCATTTATCAGAACAACTTCAGTTTGGAAAATGTATTAAGGATACTTGAAAAACACTTTATCAGAAATGCATCTTTCATTTTATGGCCTCTCAAACTCAGACAGACACAAATAACAGCAGAAATCCTTTTTTTTTTCCTGACCTCTTGTTTTTCTTCCTCTTCCTCAGGCTTATTCTCTTCCGTAACATCTTGGAGCTTGCCTCCAACACACTGATCCTCTTCTCCAACATCCAAAGTTTCACTCAGCTGTTGCTGCTCCTCCAGCTCTGCTTCAGGCTGATTTTCTGAATCTGAAGTAGAAACGAACTTGAGGAAATTTGATGGGCCGGTTTCAAATCGGATGAAGGTGGGAGTCTCCTGATCCAGATGGACTTGCTCCAGCATAACTTCTGCTTCCTTCAGGTTTCCGTCTTCTTCCTGATAGGAGCCCCTTGGTGACCTGGGACTGAGAATTGGTAAGTGGAAAAAGGTAGAAGAGAAAGGACAAGTATATCCAGTGACCTTTTCTCTTTAAGAAAGAAGTGCAGTTTTTAATATTTTTAAGGTCATAAGCAGGCTTACTGTACTAATTCAGAAGACAATAATGTCTGCCAATTTGGTTTTTATGAGAGCAATTGCTCGGTGAGGTGATAGCTCGTCTGTGAAGATTGAATATTATAACAACATTCCCTTTGAAGCTGAGACAATTAGTCATGTACAGTAAAAATGATTTTGGAAATGTTTATGTGAGGCAAGTGGCATTCTGCAGGCAATAGACTCTAGTTTCCAGATATAACCCAATCTATCTGGACACCCAAAGGAGAGTATCCAAATGTCTTTCCTCATTGCATAAAAATATTTATGCTCTATATTTTTTCCAGTGGGGCATTTAAACTTGCTGGCTTGACTGTGCCCTCCAAAAGGGGCAATCCAATTATAATGTTTAATGTGATAGAAAGGAAACATTAACATATGACTAGAACCTATTCATGATCATTCATGTGATCATCACGATTATTATCACTTTGCTTTTGATCTGATCCCACCCACTGCTTTTGGGGAGAGTGGCCTGCAGCATAACACTTAAAGGCCAAGAGCAACACTCAGTTTAGGAAAAAAACATGCACCCTGGCTTAAAGGTGCGAAATCAGCATGAGCAGAAGTTTACTGCCAGGACATCGCAAGCTCTGAACGGGCTTGCTTCCAAATACCATGACAGTCATCCTGCCACATTCTAGAATTTGTGAAGAATACATCAATACCCCCTCAGTGAAACCAAACTGGTGAGTGGCCTTTGGATCATACTTCTTTGGAGAAGGCCACATTCTGTGTTACTGCTTAGAATGAAAGCTCCTTCTAAAAGCCCACTCTATGCAAGACAATGATGTACCCATTACCCATCAATGGAAAGGAAAGGCCACTGTGACTGCACATGGGCTCTGGCTTAAGAACTCTGAAGGGCAAAATCATGAACATAATTTAACACCCCATCCCCTGCTGGTTTGGAGCAAAACTCCACATATGTCTTCCGATGTAAATCGACAGCAATGCATTAATAAGAAAATTGCACTCTTTTGAAATAAGCAGGAATTGGCCTCTAATACAGCTAAGGAGGTTATTCTTGCTACTCTAAAATATCTCAGAATTAAAAATGAATCAGAGTAGCTAGCATTTAATGTGAACTTGGTCTACTGTGTTATCTTCTATAGAAATATTTATTCAAAGATACTTCGTAGTCCTGTACCACTATATAACAACTATCCCCCCCCCGTCAGCCAATCTTAATAGCAAACTTTCTCCTTCCACTCCAAATTACTACAGTTCTGAAAGATAAGCTACAGTATACTTGAAAATCACACAAGCATCATTTCTCCTCAAAGGCTGCACTAATGCTTTTAAAATAATTGGAAGTTTATGAACCAGAATAGGTTCAGCTGATACACATGTTGCCTGCACAATGCATTCCAGATCCTACTTTACAATTTTCAAGGGCATAGAAGGCATAAGCTGTATAAGATAGTAGAAGATTTGCTACCAGTTTCCTACTTTGTGAGAGAGGAGTTCAAGCTCATATAAGACATATAGGGGTAGGGAAAGCCTCATGGAACATTGCTGCAATCTATCGAGGAAAATGTCGTACAGGATTCAGCATCACATATAATTTGTCCCTCAATCATTTCCTCTTTCCATCTCCTGAACTTGAGTCTTATTACCTGGGGCTTGCTTACATAATGACCTTTACCCATAAATACCAAACTGAAGTTGACTTAACCTACAACTGACCCACAATATCCATACCAGAAACATCTGGGCATGTGTGTAGGCACCACAAGTTGTTATAGTGTATTTATATAGTTCCCTTGAATTACGCTCTTACTACAGGAGAACATGCAAAATGAATGCACTTGCCAAATTATTCTAATGAATGCTAGTTAGGACTGTTTTGACTATCTTCCACTTAGACCAAAGCAAAACCCACATGAGTTGTGGACCATGTATTATTAACAACAGGAAACTATTTACAGCCTACAAAGTGTAGTCTGTAGGAAACCATTACACTGAGTCACAGACCTCTTAAGGAAAAAGAGAATGTTTGCTGAGAAAAAGGACAAACTATGTAATTACATTTATGACATACCTGGTCTGTTTTGAGTCATTGGCATCAAAATAACTTTTTTTTTTTAAGGTGCGTTTGAGTCAATGTTGACTCCTGACAACTGCCTGGACAAGTCTTGAAGATTTCTCGGCAAGGTTTTTTGGAAGTGGCTTGCCATTGTCTCCTTCCTACGGCTGAGAGAGTGTGACTGGCCCAAAGTCACCCAGTTGGCTTTGTGCCTAAGGCAGGATTAGAACTCACAGTCTCCCAGTTTCTAGCCTGTGCCTTAACCGCTACCCCAAACTGGCTCAGTGAAAATAACATCTAGTTGATTCAAAATTCCAAAACATTTTTTGAAATGCACGTTTTTCATTCAAACTAATTCAAAGGGACCCGATTCAGCAATACAATTTGGAAAGCTGATTTCATTTGGCAAGGTAATGAAAAGGACATTCACATTTCTGAACTGAAGACAGTCTACCAACTAAAAAGACAGCAGTTTCATGCTAACCTTTTATCTCACCTGCCTCTAATTATTTTTTAAACAATTTTATTATTTAAATATTTAAATCAGTAGAAGCAGTGACCATTTTTCCCGCATGCAAATAAACTAGTTTGCAGGAAAAATATTCAGAGCACATGTATAAGCTGTGTAACTGCAAATAATCTCATTTCCTGTATCCACTCAATGAGGGATCCTCCCAAAAAGCAACTCCAATCCAGCCATTGCCCTTCTCTGCAACTGACTTTCCACCCTTCAGGAGATAAAACACTTTTTGGATGTAAAAGTCTTATTAACCCTTCCAAAGTGCTATTCTTGGAAAGTGCAGTAGCAGGTACAAAATGCACCCTTTCTGAACTGATAAAGCAACCGTGATTTTTCCATTTTCCATTCCATATTGAAGCAGCAGCTTTTTACAAGCCTATAAAAAGATGTTTCAGTTTATTGATGGGTATGTAGGTACCCATCCAAACTAAGCAAAGGACTGAAGCCTCCTATCTTTGTTTTCTAAGAATGCTTCTTAGTTCCAAGCATTCGTGGCTATAAAGATATTCTGCAATGTAACATGGCAGCTTAATGTGTTTTTTTTTTAAATGAAAAACGACACACTGGACGCACAAATATCATATTGGGAACAGAGTAGAATGGGTACTGTTTGCCCAACTTCTTTCTCCAATTCTCCAGGGGAATTTTAATTTCAGAGCCCTTGCTTTGTTTCATGAAAGTAAGGTCTTCAAAGGGGTAAGGAAAGACCATCTTCATAGTTAAAAACTGTATCAATTTCTGCTCTGTCTTCCAGAGTAGAAACAGCAACTTCTATTAATTCTCTCCTCACCCTTATCCAAACAGCTGAAACAGCTGCTTCAAATAATTGTTTCCTGAATCTTTCCTCCTTCCTTTTCTCAGCATTCTGTTGTGTGCGTGATATTCGTAAGTTAATGCAAATGTGCCAAGCTCTCTAAAAAATGATTACTGAAGTAAAACTGAAGACATTGAAAAGAAATCTAAAAATAAAACCAGTGCCTGCAACACAGAGAAAAAGGATTGTGGGGTTTATCCAATTTTCTCCCTGCTGAGGAAAATGAGTTAAGCAAAGGAGTTTGGAGGAAGTGGAGAGATTTCTTTCTCTCTCTATATATATACACATACACACACAACTTCTTAACTACACCATTAACACATCACTGAGTTTGCACCTAAGTCATGTGTAGGAGAAATTTTGCTTGATGTACTTAATTCGCAATAATCCTTCCTGCACTTGAATGAGCTACCCATAACAAAAGGAAAAAAAGGGGAAGGGGACCCCAGAAGAATCTTAAGCATAATGAATTTTTCAAACAGAAAAATCTTCCAAGGCTATTTCATGTCAACATTAGAGATTTAAACCCCCTTGCTTTAACATTTGAAACTACAGAACATTTTTTCCCCAGATAACTCTAAAAATAAAACCCTGAGATTAGGAAACATGGTGGTGGTGATGGTGGTAAAACTGAAGATATTTTACTAAAGGCCATTTAGATCTTGCAGTATAATTACAATTTAGAAAACACACTGCTAAAAGTTTACTTACACTTCAGTTATGAGTCCACCCTCAGAAAAGTAGAAAATATAACAGTTTTACCCATCTAAATGTGTTCCCCCATTAAAGTTGGTAACACCCTTCCCCCTCCTTTGCTCTGACATGTGACAGGTGTTCTACATTTTTCTTCTACCAGTTGAAATAATTGACTTTATTTACCAATTCAAACACATGTGTGTATGTAGTTATATTTTTAGGAAAGGAGTGGGATCTCATAATTAGTTGATGCATGCAAATTTATCAGTCCTGCAAGTAAATATACAAACATACATACTACAAATTATTTCCACACATAATCATTTAAGAAGCATCAGCAGCTGAAGTGCATCTTATGATTAATCACAGCTTGTGGAATAAACTACAACTGACTACATTCACACACACAAGACATAAAGTTCACAGATCACAAGAGCTAAGACTGTTTTCTTGTTATTTCCAAAAGCTCCCTGCCTAATTGCTGAGAAGGACTTAGGTTGGCCAGAAGCAAAAGAAGAGAAGCTTCTGTACCTTTTGCAGCTGTGTAGAGGCAAGAATTAAAAAAAAATAAGACTTATATACTAAAGGAAGTTCATTTTTAGAGACCTGGAATATTTAATGCAACTATATGGCTAAGGCTAGTGGAAGCTGATTTAGTAATATGTGGAGATTTTTCTTGTTTATGAGACTAGTAATTTAATGCTGATATGAGAAGAAATGTATTCATATAAGGTCCTTTTAGTCTGCCCTAAGCCTGGGTTGACATCTTCCTCCCTGGCAGATGCACTATGCTTTTAGCACCTGGAAAGGGAGTTGCCCAAGTGACTTACACCTTTCACTACAATTTGATTAATGTTCTGCCTGGTCATGCAGCTTTTAAGGGTAAAGAGCTTCTGTTAAGAACCATTTAAGAAAAACCACTAATACGGAAGCAGTCAGGCTGGTTCACTGTTCCATGAATCTACTCGGCTCTGTTTGTAAGATACACCAAGCTACAAGTTAGCCATCACATTGCTGCCTAGTATGTTGTTTCTCCCCCACCTCTAAGCAATGTGTTTAGATTATGGTTAAGTATGTTGTATAAATCCAGGAAAGTGGAGTTACTTGACTAACAATAGAAACATTAACCAAGTTAAGGTTGTCATATGACCACAGCCATGGAGAGGCAGCTGGTGAAGCTAGACTGTATTTGACTAAGCTAACATGAGTATCAAATAGAAATCTGCCCAGTTTGTAGTATATTGTATGTATGAGCCTACAATCAATCATGCCATATCTGGAGCAAGTTCAGTGGGTCATACTTCAAAGTTCAAGAAACATACTGTGTTTCTTCCAGCCTTTCTGGTTAGTTCTTGTTTAGTTACTACTTCATTTCAAGCAGTGAAAAAGGTTTCCTACCTTCCTTCACATTGTGTAGGTTCTGCTTGTTGGGGTTCTCTGCATTCTCCAGGGTGGATTTGCTCTCCTTCTTGCAATCCCTCTCCTACCCATCTCTGCTTGCGCTGTTCAAGTTTCTGGGACCAATCACTAAAGCCCTCATCTTCTTCCACTTCTGAGGTTCCAGAAGGCTTCCCATCAATCCTGAAGCATGAGGAAAAGGAGGATATTGAACATCATCCACACAGAATTTTATGAACATTGTGTCTGTTTATGGGCAAAGCATACATTTCTGTTCTTAACCACAGGGATGCCAAAATGATGAAATGTGCATTGTGGTATCATGACAAGGACTTCCATTTTGCACTTGAGTCGTAATGTTGTGTGCAAATCCATAATGGGCAGAGCTTGCCTCTTGATGCTGCCACATGCTTTCATTACTTGCTTTCCCCTGCTCCCCTCTAAAACATTTACCTTCCTAATGTTAGAAATTATTCTCTAGTCCCAAAATAGACAGTGTTGGTGATATACTGTGTAAGCTAAGTCCACACATCATTCTAAGACATTTGCTTAACCATAAATCAAAGGCTAAGTTCACAACCCATATGAAATTAAAGCCAAACAAGCCACATTATTGCTTTAGGAAGTTCTGTGAGCCAGCTTATCATTCTAAGGGAACATTTCTCAACTTGGTTTCTTTCAGCTACATTGGGATTTAGGGAGGTATCATGCTATGATGATGCCAAAACGAAGACCTGTATGATGACATCATCACATAAATACAACAGTTGTACTTGCACCCCAACATGTGACACAGGTACATAAGTCCTGGCATTTGCATGACAACATCACACATGTTTCATCATTTGCCCTTCCCTGCAACCATCCATGGGACTTTATCAGCTGAAGTCTGATGTGTCAGGAAAGAGCAAAGATGGAGAAAGAAGGCTATCCTAGATTCTGACCAGTTTCTATTCCCTCACAATGGCACTGGGACCAAAGGGAAGGCCTTAGTGAATCAAGGATGCCTGATGAATTGTCACTTCTATATATCATTCAGAATTTACAGGGAGTGAAGGGAATGGAAAAAGTTATTTACGATCTAGCACATTTTGTGAATTCTGCCATTCTGATCTGTAAAGTGTAGCTTATGGCTTACAGTGCTGTATAAAGTTTAAATCAATTCAGTGTAATATATTCAACATCCCTTGGTTAAATCATGATTTAGTGTGCGAACCAAGCTCAGATAGAAGATTGCAGAAGATAAGGAGGCCACAAAATTTGAGGCTGGATTTCTTGGGACGGCTAACAGCAGTACAACCACTTAGAAGCTGGAGTTGCTCAAATGCATAGAAGGAGCAATGAACAAAGGCTAAAGAGTCTGTGGCTATGGGAACTGTGTGATATAAAATGGATTGATGGTAATAAAGCTGGGCATGGGGATGAAATAATTACACTAGGGGAAGTATTTTGAAGACTGATATTTGGATAATATGAGCAACAACTGGCTCAAGAATGCAAAAAGACACTAGATCATTTTTAAATTTGGCTTAGGGTGAAAAGGGTTTTGCTCTTAGATAATAAGCAGGTCCAAATTATGCCCTTAAAACTTACCAACAACACCCCATCTCTGGTCTTCTGTGCATTCCCTAGCAAGGTGGCCAGAAAATTTCACACCACTAAGCACTAACTCACACAGAGAATTCAAAGTGAAACAAGCAAAGCAGTTGATGGGAGCTGAAAAGTGTGCGTGTGTGCATGAGAGAGAGAGAGAGAGAGAGAGATGGTGGGAGGGAGGAAGATAAAGGATGACTCTTCTCTTCCATTCATTAATAAAGGAAGAGGGAAACGGAGCACTTAAACCCAACTGGCCAGAGTCCAGCAATTGGCTTTCAAAATATACAGCCTGCATTCCAAACTTATGATCCATTGCAATTCAATACAGAGATGCAAAAGCCTCTAGACCACCGTTAACTAAAAGGGAGATCAGCATAGGGATGTGCCTAGTATGAATTACAGGCAAATGGAAGGGGAAATTGCTTCCATTCTTTTTCTGGTTTCCTCTCCTTTTTAACACTGAAGTTTCCTTGTCCCACAGTGCAGAGGGACTGGGCACCTCTAACCAGTACACAATTGTTAAGGATACAGTAGAAATGTTATACTTCTAAATATAAATATGTATGTAAGATGATGGAGGAAAACAAAGGGAGAAATGAAAGGAAATAAGCTACCAGTTATTTTTTTCTCAGATGCTCAGGCAGGCCTAGCTAAAGTTCAACCTTAGCACTCATTTTGGCTCCCTATCATATTTTTTAAAATATTCTTTTAATTAAAAAGTACAGGTAGTCCCCAAGAACGAGTTCCATTTTACCAAGGTCTGTCCCTAAGTCAAATTTGTATGTAAGCCAGAACAGTATTATTAGGATTGTGTAATTAACTTGAACCATTGTGTATTTAACTCGAATCATTGTGTATTTAGCTCAAATTTTGCTACAATAGGCTCCGTTCTTAGCTAAGGGTCATCCATAAACTGGGCACTCTTAACCTGGGGACTACCTGTAATAACAAGGAAGAAGCTGGCACACTGCAAAAATTAAGTACCAATATACGGCATTCTCTGTATTTAAGAGAAGACCTCAGAACCCCACAGAAACACCACTGGCATTCTTAGAAGATTAAACCAGCAAATATTCACTCTGCAGGGCATAGCTTGAAAGGACACCTACCTGCCCAGAAAACAAGGCAAAGACAAGCTAGGATGATAGAGAGTGTTGGGGTGAGGACTAGAGAGGCCTTTCTAGAAGTAACCTCACCCATTTTCCTGCTGTTCAATGGGGGAAAAAACATGGCATGTTCACAATGGCAGTCGTTTGTTAAGAGAGACATTATCATGGCAGCCACAACTCACAAATGTGCCCATGGACCTTAAAAGATTACTTACCCTTTTTTCTAATTCAATTAGATAGGAGAGTCTTAAAAACAGCTTGCCACATTCTATTACATATACCAATTTCTTCCTGGCAGCTGGGTAGTATAGATTTTAAAAAATCACCTTCAACACCAGTTTAATCAATAGGATTTTACAACACTGATACATCTGATGCATCAGGAAGAAATAAAAACTCAGCCTTCTTTTCTGACAAGATAAAGAAGTCTGAAAAGGAATGTCTGAGTAGCTGGAGCATTTCAATTTCCATGAGAGAACCAAATTTTGCAGTTAGGCATCTTTAATGATTTCTTTATTTGATTTATAGTCCACCTTTAATTTAGGAACTCGGCAGCATACACAGCACTCCCTCATCCTAATTTGCCCCCACAACAACCTTGTGAAGTAGGTTGGGCTGAGAGAAAGAGAGGGAGAGGGAGACTTTTGAAAATTACACAAAAGGTCTACTTTTTCCCTACCAAATAGAGAATGTGAACAATTTGAAATATGTTGGAAGGGACCAGCTTGGAAAATGGATTTGAAACTCTGTCATTTCACATGGGCAAAAACAGAAAAAAATACTGCAGAGATTTAGCATCTATTCTAAACAGGATTTTTACTGGAATTTTAAGTGTGAAATACGAATTTAAGATTCCCATCTAGTAACACATTTTTTCCTTCTTAATATAATCAGCCAGGTGTTCAGGAAACCACTAAGACATGGAAACAATACACACTCCCTTGTGTCTGAAACATTAATTACAATACTCAGAAGTGACAAACTTCTGAACATGGAGATCAGTACAGCCTCCTCCAGCTACATGTGTGCCGGATTTTGGGGTCTACCACTCCCATCATCCTTGACGGTTAACGCTGTTATCTTTAGCTAGGGAAGTTGTAAGTCAAAACATCTGGAGAGCATCTGGTTGGGAATGGCTGCTTTGGAGTAAGAAACAAAGTAAGGGATGTCAAGCGAATGTAATCTGGACCTACAGGCAAGTTATGATAGCTGCATTTTAGAGGAGTTATTCAAAGAAAGATGGGCGCTGTGTACAGCAACACAGCTTATAAGAAAAGTATGAGTCATTCTAAGGGGGAGTTGAGTTTATGTAAGAACAAAAAATCTGTATTAATATCCTGACTTTTCACAGCTGTAGAAATGGATAGGGAGCAGAATGAAACCATCATGCCCACTGGAAATGAAAAAAGAAAAAGAAATATTGTTTTTTTTCTGAAATAATTCTTTGTGTGTGTGTATATTCCTTCTTAATTAACATCTCCTCCAGAACCACTCCCACTGTCACTATGTATCACTAAGAGGCTTTGCTTTGCAATTGGATGTTATCTCAGCAAGCATATGGCTTAGTCCTAACTGATGAAAAGTTAGGAGTAAAAGGAGTCCTTATAGTGATGGACTGAAAAGTGTGAAGAAGGAGTGCTCTATCATACCAGCACTATTCAGTTTTCTTCTGCCAATGCTGTCCCCTGGGCCACCTCCAGCTTGGTTGGTGAAATTTTGCAGGGAGTAATTGGCAGGCAAGTCAAAGCTGAATTTTCCCCTTCTATCCTCCACCCTTTGAATCAGTTTCCTTCCATTCCAAGTTCTTGCCTTCTAGCGAAAACATGGAGTCTCTCCATAACATGAAGTTCCTCCTGTAATGAATGGGATATAAAGCTGTGCAAATTTAAAAGGGGTGCTTTGCTTCAATTATACTTTGACTGAAGCACCTTCTCTAGGTCCCCACTTCTGAACAGCAAAGTAAAGCTGGTACATGCAGTAGCCAGAAACAGCCTCTAGGCTTACGCATTCAGAAAAAACTCTTCCAGCAACTGGATGTGCAAGGAGAAGCAACTGGTGACACAGAGTGCCTTGACCAATGTTGCCTTTGCAATGCAAAAAGCTTTGTCAAAATAAATTTGGGCCATCTCCCATTGGTTTTCATAATGTTTGTTATGAATGTTTGTACAATTTTCAAATGAAAATTGGTTTTCATGTTTGTTGCTTATTCTTTGCTGCTCTGGGAGTTTTAGGCAGGAATCTCTCTCTCTCTCAGATTGTTTCTCCATAAAAATTAATGCATTTTAGTTAAGGCTTACATAGATTTGTCTATGACTTCTACCAGCAAATGTGCAATAGACACTTTCATAATTAGAAACCAGGAGTAATAGAGAGATACTTTATCAAAATTAGTTTTTATATTATGCACATTGAAGTGGAAGATGCTGAGGAGCAATAGTGAGGTGCTGGAAGGCAAAAGTTGGAGATGCTTTGTAGCCTGTCCTCCATTCTCCTATTGCTGTCTCATAACCAGTTTTGAAGCAATCGCTCTGGGCAGCTTTTGGAGGTGAAATGGAGGAAGGCTGTCACTGCATCCTAGGCCTCAGGCAGCAGCTCTGCATTTCAAGTGGCTGAAATGTCTAAGGGTTTTGCCACTTCTGAAGCTGAAGGAAATGAGTAAAATGATGAGTTTGCAGTGGGGGGTTCCCCCCCCCCATATACTTTCTCCAATGTGTAGTTGGGACCTTTGTTGCTAGGATCCTCATTTGCTAGCTTGAGCCACCCTATTTGGACAGGATCCCTTCAAGTTCTACTACCAAATGAACTTTGGCCAATGGCTACAGGATAGAGGGCCTACTTGTGATCTGCTGTCAAATATCCTCCCTGGAGAGCTGCCTGACAACCACCCACTGTCTTTTCAGCATCAAGTCATTCTTTTTTTCTCTGACATCTTAGATGTAAATATTTATATGTTGTAAGTATTTACACTTTGTAAATATCTGAGAATGTATGTATGAGCTGCACATAACAGCTGCCACAAGGATTCCAGCAGAAACTGTGTCCAGAGAATGGTTGCTCTGAGCCAAGTTTGGAGACCCGACTACCCACCAAGATAACCCTCCCTGGCACACTGATCAATGCAGTCCATCCAAATGTGTACTGCCTTCTGGTTTGTGCCATTGTATGGAAGACCACAAAAATAATGTACTTATTAAGCCCAGGAGGAATCACTAATTATACTGGCTGCCTGCATCCAGATTGATGGTTGCTCCCTGATATATCACCCAGAGTAGCCTTCCCCAACCTGATGCCCGCCAGACATACTGTCACAACAATACCCAGAACTGGCTGTGCTGGCTGGGAATTCTAAGAGATGGTGTCCCTTATATCTGGAATATCTTCACTAGATTAGGAAAGCCTGACCTAGAGAAAGTCCATGATATTCCTGAATATTACTGCATCCACAGTCCAGTACTTATCTTGCAACCCTAGGAAGCTGATTCATTTGGTCTGCTGTATGCTGGCATAATATGCAGATAGTGTTTTCCTGCTTCTCAGTATGAAATAGTGTGTATGTGTTATTATTTGTATCAAACTAATTTATTCCTAGAAAGATGCCTACAGATTTCTTTATCAGTCAAGTATTCATTTATAGCTGATGCTAGTTGATGGATGACTTTACATTCAACCACTGTGTTTTGCATTGCCTTTTAGGCTACAAACCCCCCTCAAGGCATCTGGGTGAAAAATCTATGCAAATAATAAATGCACAAGTTAATACAGTGTTTCTCAACCTTGGCAACTTTAAGATGTGTGTGCACCAACTCCCAGAATTCCTCAGCCAGCCATGGGGAATTTTGGGAGTTGAAGTCCACACATCTTAAAATTGCCAAGGTTGAGAAACACTGGCTTAATAAAAGCCACTGACAATAGTAATGCTAGTTAAGCCATCCCTTCCTTCCAATAATAATAATAGCAGCAGCAGCAACAGTCCCCACAACCATACAGCTGAAGATAATAAGGCTGAAAACCTGAGGTAGACAACTGCCTAACAGCTGCCTGCTCTCAGAGACAGGGGACTAAAATAAGCTACTTTTGCTGATATAAGAGTGTGAGCAGATTGATACGGATAGTCCTTCAGAAAACTAGACTTTTCTGCAACTAAATCAGCATTTTAGCTGAGCATTGACATATTAAGAGTCCAATGAGGAGTCCCAGTTCCGCATTAATTAAAATTTTTGAACTCTCTTTAAAGCATTAGAATAGTCCAGCCTGACTCTCATTGCTCCATTGATATCCCAGGCACAGACTTACTTGCTGTCTTGTACTGCCACTCCAGAAGTGCTGTTGAGACCTTCTTCTGCCTGGGACCTCAGCTGTCTCTCACGTTCCCTTCGGCGTCGCTCTCTAGCAGCTTCTTCCTCATCCTCCACACTCCACTGAGCTGTCAGCCTACCAGTCAGAGAGAAAATGCAAGGTGCACTTAGCACTTGCTAATATTTCTGTTCCCAAAGCCTAACATATTCCACTCCTCTCCAGAAACAAGGGGCACTAGAAGGAAATTATTCTGTTAGGAGACAAGAAACATTTGCTACCAATAAGTATCACTGCAAACATCTCCCATGTTCCCCACCCCCACCCCTTTACTGTATTTAAGCAGAGGCAAAGATCAAGCTGAGAGCCCGGTTGGCATGGGGAGGGAGGAACTAACTATATGTGGTGCTAACCCCAAAATTCATACAGAAGGAGAAAACAATCTCCAGGATTAACACCAGGCAAACAATCAAGAAGAAACAATACCCTAATCCAAGAACTACCAAGAAGAAAACCACACCCCCACCAACACTGGCAGGACAAGCTACTGTATGTAAACAGGGAGCAAACCCTACACTCACTTGCACTGATGATGTTACCTAGTTGGGTAATGAAACGTCTGCAAGCAAACAGCCAAGCTCAAAGAGCACCAAGGACTTCACAGTTCAACCCTGAGCTACATATATTCTCTTCTGTTTAGAAGGAGAAAACTTAAAAGAGCAGCAGAAATGGAGCCAGAATATGGGAAGTCATTCAGGCCATCCAACACCTCTTGTGGATATCGGCTGCAGATTGAAAAGAAAAACCTGCTAAGGCATTGGTGATGCAGCAACTGGTTAGGTTATTAGTGCTGTGCTGTACCTTTGAATACATTTTAGAGGAACTAAATAACTCAGAAAATGTAGTAAGAAAGTAAGAATATCATCCACAATTAACTAATGACATCTTACTGGGCAATGTTGGGCCAATCACTTTTTCTTAACTCATAGAGCAGCTGTTCTGAGGATAAAATCAGTAAGCTACCTGCTAAGGGAGAAAAATAAGATATCAGTCTAAATAATGATAACAACAACCACAACTAAAGCTTCCACTCAATCTCCAGAAAAGGCCAGTTTGAACAATGGATGACTTCAACAGGTTTTCTCAGAAGCATTGTATTTTATTTGGAATTTTAGAAAGGAATTATTTTGCTACAAATAGAGCAGATCTTGTTGGAGGAGGGCACCAAGCACTATCCTACTGCAGGCTTTCCTTCCATCCTGCATAAGATTAAAAGCCTGACTCAGCTCCTTCCATAATCTCCTAGGCACTAGGCACCAGATAAGCAATTCTTTGACAAAACCCAGAGGAAACAATACTGTAACAATAATTCTGCAATGTTTCAAATGGGTTAGGACATGATTTCTAGAGCCAGAATCATCCCCCTTTTTAACAGCAGGCTGCATATTTTTCACTGTAATATATATGTGGTTCTGAGTAAAACTGTTGTTTGTAAACAACATGTTGTGAGGTCAAATAATTCTAATTTTGTAAGCTGTTTTGACAATTTCATTGTTATAGTTCCTGATAATTATTACAGGGAAAACTTTTGCTGGTTTTTCATAATCATTATATTTCAGTTATTAAGGCTTGATGTTTTATGATGTTTGGTAGAATCTCTGTGATAAAAATGAATGTATTGCCTAGAATGATGTTTTTGTTTCAAACAATACCAGTTTTGAAGCATGATGTACCATTTAAACAGTGTCAAAAAGTTATATCTAGAGTTGTGTGGCAAGGTAAGAAGTCAAGGGTTAAATATGAAATACTGCAGGTTGCAAAGGACACAGGAGGGCTAGGCTTACCTGACTTTAAATTGTATTTTGCAGCCTGCTGTCTAGTTTGGATGAAAGAGTGGGTGTTGCTGAGAAATAGAAGAATGTTAGAAAGAACTTAACTTGAGGTTTGGTTGGCATGGCTTTTTATGGTACGCTAGAGTTAAAGTTAATGTGGATTTTAAAAATCATTATGTGAGAAGTGCCATATTAAGGATATGGAATAAATACAAATCCAGACTGTGCCCCCAAAAAACCTGTATCGATCTCAGTACAAGAAGTATTTTACAGAAGAGAAAGAGCAGATAGAGAGAAATGGCTAACATATCAAGATTTATTAATACAGGAAGATGGAGAACTTAAGATGAACTCAAGAGAACAACTGACTGCAGAGGGACATAGTTTTCAATGGTTTTCATATGCACAACTAAAAGAAAGATTTAATAGAGACAAAAGGATAATTGGAACTGAAAAACATAAAATGGTATTTGAAAATGCATTATGTACAAATTATGAACATGTAATTGCAAAAAATATATAAACTTTTGTTAAGATTTGAAAATGAAGAGGAACACATTAAGGATTGAATGATAAAATGGGCTACCAATTTTGGTTAGTAGCATATAGATGAATGCATGGGAAAGAATATGGGCAAAAGGGATAAAATGTATACTGTGCTATAATTTAAGAGAATTTTTTTTTATAAAATGATGTATCGGTGGAACATGATACCAGAGAAACTATCAAAAACGCATAAAGGTACCTCAAGTCAATGTTGGAAATGTGAAAAACATAAAGATTTTACCATTACATTTTTGACTTGTGAAAAAGCCAAGAAATACTGGATACAAATATATACAATGATACAAAGTATTTTAAAGATTAATATCACAAAGAAACCTTTTTTTTTTAATTGGAACTTATGGATAGTGAATTAGAAAAGACTCATGGAAGATGGATCTTGTATTTGGTAATGGCAGCAAGATTATTATACACACAAAGATGGAAGGGAACTGAAGTTCCTACAATGGAGAAATGAATCGTGAAAATGTCAGAACTGGCAGAAATGGCAAAACTGACCTGTTTGGTCAGGGAGGAAACAATAAGTGGTTTTTTAAAAGACTGCAAACCTTTTATGGACTTTTTGCTAAAAGAAGAAAAAAGTAAAATGATGATTTATGAATTTAATGGTTGAAAAAGACGAAAATTAAATAAGGGGCTGAAGAGATTTTTCGAATAGTTAAGAGGGAGGGGAGATGATGGGTTTGTTAATATCTGTTAAAAAGAAAGTCAGGAATCATCTGCTTTAGCTTTTTTAGATATTTCTCTTTTTTGTTTTTCCTTTCTTTTCTTTGTAATTTATTATCCCTTCCCTTCCCTTCCCTTCTCCTCTGTTTTCTTTATTAGATTTGCCTTTTACTTATGGAAAAAAATTAAAATATATTTTTTAAAAAAGGCTGATGTTTTACAATATTTTCCAATTCATTTTGAGCTATTCTAGTGTCATTTATTATTGCTGCATCTATAAGCACAACTTTTCCTTAACTACTGTGATATCTGGCATGCTGAGTTCTAGATGTTGGTCCATCTGAATCTGAAGCCTTATTAATTTTTTACACGATCATTCGGGAGCACTTTTCCAATAACAGTACTTGGGGTCATCAAATCCATATATTGAATATTGCTTAATTCCAATATTCATTTTTGCCATGTAATTATGTCTTGATTTATAATCTGGGCAATTTTGCTACAGCCATTGATTATATAGTCAACAATCTTTCTTTCCCTTTGCATAATCTACTTCTGTTGTTGTTTCTAGTTTTTTTCATTTTCATTTTTATGGCACTGCTAGTGCTTGTTCTTGTGCTGCAAATATTAAGCCTTCTATTTCTTTCTTGAGGGATCCAACCTGAAGCCATTGCCAAGTTTTGTTACTATTCACCTTGCCTTCAGTTTCTTTCAGGCATTGACCATGCAGAGATTTATCTTTCCAGTTTTTCATTCACTATTGTAACTGTTCAGTTTTGTATGTCATCTTTGATTCTGTCACCTTCAAAATGTTTTCCTTGTAGACATTTTTAACATCCTCTCTTTGCTTGCTTTTATATAATCATTTGGACTTCAGATTTCATCCTTCACTGGGTGCTTCATTTGCAACAAAGCACCACAAACAATTTTCCTTGGTAAATACAAATGATCTATTTCGCTTTTTGGGTGTAGTGCACGATGGATTGTGATAAACGTTCAGGTCTCGCAGTCTAAAGCATCTGGCTATACCTGTGTCCAATCAACAATACAAACTGTTATGTAGCATATTCCAGAGACAGCCTAAGTATCAATAGCTTTGATTGTAATACCAGCATTCAGCTTCAACTTTAAAATTCTTCTAATTCATTTTACATATTCAGTCCTGGTTTTTTTTCACCTAGGCATGCCAAAAATGATGATGATGATGATGATGGTGATGATGATGATGATGATGATGATTTATATACCACATTCATTTGCCAATGCTTCTCAAAGTGGTTTACAATAAAAACAATAAAATACATAACAAAGCAATACTTCATACAATATAAACAATAACATAAAGCAATATTCAAAAACATATACTAAAAACATGGTGGGAAAGAGAAAAAAAATCTTCCAGCGTTCATACCATGAAAGCTGGGTGAAAAGGGAAGATTTCGATCCTGCTGGCCTTCCAGAAGGCTCTTGAAAGATAGTTTTGTCATCAGGCCTGGGGGTCCAGTGGTGGTACAGAACCTGCTGGTTGGTTGCATTGTTAGTAATTTATTGCATTCTGCCACAAACTAGTTTTTTATTATTATTATAATTAACTCTTTTAATTGATTTTATGGGTTTTATTTTGTTTTTATTTCTAATTGTTGTTTTTAATAATGCAAGCCACCCAGAGTCACTTAGGTGAGATGGGTGACAATATAAGTTAATTAAATAAATAAATAAAATTTCAAGAGGTACCTAAAAGATGTTACAGTAGATGTCTTCCCAATTTCAGAAGGAAGAGCATTCCAGAGCATGTAACTGCAACAGAGAAGACTCACCCATGAGCATCTACCAGAGGGCATTTGGTAACTCTTGGTACACATCCACTAGGCCTCTGTCTTTCTGGGATTCTTATTGTTTATTGGGCCTCATCTAGTCCATCTCTGCATCCAGGCACTGGTTAAAAAACAAACCCAGCCTTTCCTGACTCATATGCTATCAAAAAGGTAGAACTCAGTATCATTTGCATGTTAGTGACATCCAGTTGCAAAACCCCTTGACCAAACAGCCCCAGATGTTCCATATAAAAGTTAAAGT